ATTTTAGTGAAATTTTATTTTTTGTTCACTTTGTTTTATAAAGCGCTGTTTGTGTCCCCTTTTTTTGTGATTTAAAAAAAAAAACTTTTTGGAACGAAGAATTGTCCCAAAAATCATTTCTGGAATATAAGAAAATATTCATGAATTTAAGAAAATATAATTTCTAGAATGAAGGTCCTCTTACATAATTCCCCGCCCCATAGTTTTTCGGGAATTATGTAATGTCAATGGAGTGGTCCTTATATTATCGATGAAATGTTATCTCATGATCTATCCGACTTTGCAATCCCGGTAATGGCGATCCATTTGTAGTAAACGGACATCAATCAGGCTTATTTTGACTCTTTTTAAACACAATACCCAATTTATAATAAAGATGCATAGTCAACATTATTACAATAGGAAAAATTCCATTGTAGATAAGTCTAAGCATGTGACTCAGAATTCTGAACCGTTCCAAAATAAACCGAAATCATGTCGAATCGAACCGAACCGAAAAAAGTACTGGTACGGTTCTAGAGATTTCACAAATATCCGTATCGAAAACCCAACCGAACTGTCCCATACCATTTCGAACCGAAGAATTGAAATCAAGAACCGAATTATAACATTAGATTTGTTTATTACAATTTAAGTTTATGAAAAATGGGTTTCAAAGTAGTTTGTCTTTCAGCAGCCTATACATTTTAGAATGAACTTTATTATATAAAAGTGCACTGAATTTACCCTACTTGATCTTTAAAAAGTTATTATATAAAAGTTTAATTTAAAAAATTATTATATAAAAGATTAAGTTGTCTCTTCAGTTGTTAATACAATATCTAATTTATAATAAAGATGCATAGTCAACATTATTACAATAGGAAAAATTCAATTGTAGATAGGGCTAAGCATGGGACTCAGAATTTTGAACCGTTCCAAAAATCAAACCGAAATCAATTTGAACTGAAATATAATCGTTGATCATTTAACTTTTTCTGGACCGAACCAAACCGAAAAAATTATTTGTACGGTTCTAGAGATTTCACAAATATCCGTATCGAAAACCCAACCGAACTGTCCCATATATTTTGAATCGAAGAATTGAAATCAAGAACCGAATTATAACATTATATATGTTTATTAATATATTTTATGTCAACTTTGATCCTATATAATTTGAGAATTTTTAAAATTGAAGTAAAATAAAGTGATAACAATTAAACTTCACTTCTTAGTAGCATTTGATCTACAATTGAGTATTTCCTGTTACAAAAAGATTAGTTAATATTTTATGAAAGGTTAAAAAATATTTTTATTTTCAAGTGGACCTGCTTGAGCCGTGGGCTCGGGTTGGGCTGGTCCAGCAAAGATAAGGCCCACTTATGCGGTTTAAAAAGATATATGGTATTGGTTAAATACATATAAATATTTAGGAAAGACTACTAAAAAGGATGGAAGTAAGATGATGTATACCCACACCCTTATTAAGAATGATCGGAATCCTCATATAAGAAGAAAATTGCTTGTCTTCAGTAGTAAGTCATTAAGCTTCTTATAAATAAGGGATTCAGGATTTATATACCCTAAACTATTAAAATTACTCATCATACATAATTAAATCGACAACGGTTTTCTGACTTAAGCGTCTGAGTGTCTACGCCGGAGCCACGCCCTTGCAGTTTGCAAGTTGATAATTCGGTTCTTGAAGGTTAAGGCGGTCGAGATGTTCAAAACTCTTAGTCAATCGAGACAAGACGGTTGGATCAACAATCTTAGTGAATTATCTTTTGGTCAATCACACTACTCACCCAAAACGAAAAATCATTACAATTCTTTTTTATGAAAAATGGGTTTCAAAGTACTTTTTTTTCACCAGTCTATTCTTTTTAGAATGAACTTTATTATATAAAAGTGCACGGAATCTACCCTACTCGATCTTTAAAAAATTATTATATAAAAGTTTAAGTTAAGAAATTATTATATAAAAGTTTAAGTTGTCTTTTCAGTTGTCAACCCAATATCCAATTTACAATAAAGATCCATAGTCAACATTATTGAAATAAGAAATATTCAATTGTAGATAGGGCTAAGCATGGGACTCAGAATTTTGAAACATACCGAAAATCAAACCGGAATCACTCCGAATCGAAATATAATTGTTGATCTAAGTGCTAACATAATTGTTGATCATCTGCCTTTCTCCGTACCGAACCGACCGGAGAAATAATGGGTACGCTTCGAGAGATTTCACAAATATCCATACTGATAACCCAACCGAACCGTCACATACCGTTTCGAACAGAAGAACCGAATTATAACATTAGATGTGTGTTATTAATATATTTTATGTCAACTTTGATCCTATATAATTTGAGAATTTTTAAAATGCAAATAAAATATAGTGATAACAATTAAACTTCACTTCTTAGTAGTAATTGATTTATAATTGAATTTTTCATGTTATAAAAAGATTAGTTAAAATGTTATGAAAGGCTAAAAAAATATTTTTTTTAAGAAAATACTATATTATATTTGGTTTGATTTTAAATTTTCAAGTGGACCAGCTTAAGACGTGAGCTCGGGTTCGACTGGTCCAGCAAAGATAAAGCCCGTTTATGAGGTTTAAATAGATATATGGTATTGGATAAATACCTATAAATATTTAGGAAATACTACTAAAAAGGATGAAAATAAGATGATGTATATCCACACCCTTATTAAGAATGATCAGAATCCTTAAATAAGAAAGAAACTCCTTCTTCAGTAATAAGTCATTAAGATTCTTATAAATAGTGGATTCAAGATTTATATACCCTAAGCTCGTAAAATTACTCATCATACATGATTAAATAGATGATGGTTTTCTGACTTAAGCGTCAAAGTGTCTACCCCGGAGCCACGCCCCGTCAGTTTGCAGGTCGATCCGGCTCTTGAAGGTTAGGGCGGTCGAGATATTCAAAACTCTTAGTAAATCGAGACGAGAGAGTTGGATCAACAATCTTAGTGAATTATCTTTTGGTCAATCACTTTACTTACCCAAAACGAAAAATCATTACAATTTATTTTTATGAAAAATGGGTTTCAAATTACTTTGTCTTTTCACCAGTCTATATTTTTTTGAATGAACTTTATTATAAAAAAGTGCACGGAATCTACCCTACTCGATCTTTAAAAATTATTGTATAAAAGTTTAAGTTAAAAAAATTATTATGAAAAAGTTCATGTAGTCTCTTCAGTTGTCAACCCAATATCCAATTTATAATAAAAATGCATAGTCAACATTATTACAATAGGAAAAATTCAATTGTAGATAGGGCTAAGCATGTGACTCAGAATTCTGAACCGTTCCAAAATCAAACCGAAATCAATTCAAACCGAACCGAACCAAAAAAAGTATTGGTACAGTTCTAGAGATTTCACAAATATCCGTATCGAAAACCCAACCGAACTGTCCCATACCATTTTGAACCGAAGAATTGAAATCAAGAACCGAATTATAACATTAGATTTGTTTATTACAATTTATTTTTATGAAATATGGGTTTCAAAGTAGTTTGTCTTTTCAGCAGCCTATACATTTTAGCAAGGTTCAGAAAAGCGGGATTAAGCGTACGCTTCCACGCGCTTCCGCGCTACGCGGACGGGTCACGCATCGCTTTGGGCCAAAAGCACCCCCAAGGTGTCGCGACCGCTTCAGCGTGCCTAGGCGTTGGCGAAGCGTGCGTAGGTGGCCAAGGCGGAGAAAAGCGGAGCCGAAGCGCCGCGGAAGCGCAGTTCCCAATCGCACGCGCGAACTGCAAGGCGGGAAATCGATTGGCGCAAGGAGATAAAAGAAAAAAGGAAGTCATTGACCTAGGGTTTGAGTTGGACTGGAAAAGACTTGAGAGCAAGACCATCCTGCGCCGCCGAACCAGAGGTCGACATCGACCTCGTCGTCATCCTTCTTGACATCCAGCAAGGTGAGCATCTGCATCTCCCTCGACAGCTCCATTTTTTCTCTTGTCCTCCCTCCTCTGGTTCTCCAATCCGGCAATCCCTGCTTCTCTCATCTTAGTCTGCATTTGGTTATTATATTCCTGCTGCATCTCGATTGCCACTGCCCACTAGCATTTGGTTATCTGGTTTGGTGATTGGATGATTGCTTTTTATAAAAGTGTAGTACAACTAATATATTTCTTTAACACTGGATTGTGGCAAACTATAATATATTGCTCTTTCCTGCGTAAAATATTGTGCCACCTCTTGATTGCTCTTTGTTTGTTCAGACTTCAGAGTACAGATCAATAGATGAATAATATATATGGCTAATTGCTCATTGTTTAGATAATAGATTAGTTAACTGAATAGAATATTGCTAGTTTTCTATGCCTAATTACTCCTGGATATATAAATGTGGAAGCAAGTGGAAAGACATATATAATTATTCCTTTGAAGTCTTTGTATTTGTTAATATGTCTTAGTCAGCTTTTGTGTAGGGTCAGGTTGTTTATTGCTATGTTATCTGCCTTTGTAGTCTTTGTTTTTGTTAATATGTCTTTGTCTTCTTTTGTGTAGGGTCTGGTTGTTTTTTGCTTCTGAGTAAGGGAGTTATGGGGTACTTTCCCTGGTTGTGTTAGTGTTTTTTGTACATGGACTTTGTATATCCTTTGTGTTATTTTGTAGTTGTCGTTTTTTTTTTTTAAAAAAAAAGAAGCAAGTGGAAAGAGTTGTTTTCTATTGTTTAATTTTTTTATTTTATTTTATTTTATTTTTAGTTTATCTTTTTGGAGCCTTTTTCATTGTTGGAGAATAACTGTAGAGTTGATTGGTGTTTTTGTTTGCTTCAGTGTTTTTGTGGTTTTTACTTTTTAAGTAAAGGGCTATTGGTTAGGACTTAGGATACTGTGTGTGCAGACTATGTTGTTTGATTATGAGATTACTGCAGGATACTGTGTTTTTTTGTGGTTTTTTTCCCCTTGCATGTAAATTAATCTTTGTTGATTGGTTGCATGCTTGGCTGCTTGCTTTGCACTTGTAGGATGGAACCACCTAGTTCTGGACAACCAGCAGCAATGGAGAAAGAAAATGTTTTGAAGAGGAAGTCAGATGATGTTGGATGGGATTATGGGTTTCTGGTTGATCCTACCAACATGAACAATGTGAAATGCAAACTTTGTGGCCATGAGAGCTCGGGAGGGATTTATCGTCTCAAGCAACATATAGCTCATGTTGGGACTACTGTGGCCAAATGCAAGGACAGCAAACCAGAAGATAAAGAGAAGTGCAAGAAATCACTTGATGGGGCAGCAAGAAAGAAGAGGGAAAAGATTGTCCATGAGCTAAGTCTCAGAGAAGATGTGAATGTTTCTCGTGTTGAAGGAGGTACATAGGAAGAAGTTACTTGTATTGGAAGCTCAGAGCCCCACAAGCTAGGGCCTATTGATAAGTGGACAAGGCCAATTGATCCTAAATCAACACAAGCTGAAGCCTTGAAGCAACAAAAGTTAAACAAGGAACTTTGGAAGCAGAGAACACATGAGGTGCAGCGGTATGTTGCAAGATGGATGTATGCACATGGTAATTAATTAACAACAGCTACTGCTATTTACTTTTCTATATCTATGTAATCGTCACTATTGCCATTTTTATATGCATTGACATGGTAACCAACATTGATTTGCATTATTTTTCTCTGTTTTACAGGCATACCATTTAATTCTATTGACAATGATGAGTTTTTACAAATGTGTGAAGCCATTGGTCAGTTTGGTGTTGGATTTGAACCTCCTTCTCAAGACCAATTAAGGGGTGGTTTGTTGGCTGAGGAATATTCAAGGACCAAGAGTTTGCTGTTGGAGCGTGATGCTGAAAAGATAAAGAATTGGTGCTCTGTCATGACTGATGCTTGGTCAGATAAGAAGAGGAGAAGCATAATGAACTTGTGCACAAACTGTGCTGATGGAACAAGTTTTATCAGTTCAAAAGAGATGTCAAATCTGTCACACACAAGTGAAGTCATCTTTGAACTAGTGGACAAAGCAATCGAAGAAGTTGGTCCCGATGATGTGGTGCAAGTAGTGACAGACAATGCTTCTAACAATATGGGAGGAAAGAAATTATTGTTTCACAAGAGACCAAACATCTTTTGGACCTCTTGTGCAGCTCACACAATTAACCTGATGCTTCAAGGAATTGGTAGCCTAGAAAGGTACAAGAACACAATTGACCAAGCAAAAGCATTCACCATCTTTGTCTATGGGCATACAAGAACCTTGGAATGCATGAGACAGTTCACAGAGGGCAAAGAAATCATAAGGCCAAGAGTAACCAGATTTGCTTCAGCATTTCTTACTTTGAACAGCATTCTAGAGAAGAAGGATGAGCTAAGGAAGATGGTGGTTCATAGCAAATGGGACACATTGAGAGAAGTGAAGTCAAAAAAAGGAAAGGATGCAACAGCAACAATGATGAATCCAGATTTTTGGAAAGCTGTGAAGATGTGCTTAAAGGTTTTTGAGCCTCTAGTAAAAGTTCTTCGTTTGGTTGATGGGGATGTGAAGCCATCTATGGGTTTCTTGTTTGGAGAATTAGTGAAGGCAAAGAGAGAGATCAAGCAGGCCTATGGCAATGTGGAGTCTCGCTACAAAGATGTCATGGATATTATTGAGAAGAAGATGAAAGGCCGACTTGATTCTCCATTGCATGTGAGTGCATACTTGCTGAATCCATATTACAGTTATTCTGACAATTCAATCTTTGATGATGGGACAATAACAAAAGGGTTTATCACTTGTGTTGAGACCTTCTATCATGATGATAAGGACAAACAAGATCAGGCTGTAAACATTGAATTAAGGAAATTTCAGAATAGAGAAGGTCCTTTCTCAAAAAAAACTTGCTAGGACTTCTCATAACTTCGATTATAACCCAGGTAACTTAGTTCTGCACATCAGCCCCTTGAATAATTAGTGGTTTTTGAATTGAATTTTAATATGTAAAGTGATTATCTATTTCTTTCAGCGTCTTGGTGGAAACTCTATGGAACAGAGACACCAGTCTTACAAAGGATGGCTATGAGAATCCTCTCATTGACTTCAAGTTCTTCTGGTTGTGAAAGAAACTGGAGCATTTTTGATTTGGTTTGTCACAAAATCTCTAATCTCATTTGAATATTCAGTTTAATCCCTAATATCAAGTCTAAATATCCATTCTTGTGTTCTTATGTTTGATTTGTAGATACATACCAAGAGAAGAAATAGGCTCACTACAAGTCGCCTCAACTCTCTTGTTTTCATACAGTTCAATTCAAAACTCATGACCAAGAGACAAAAGATCAAGTCCAAGAAGATTACTGATGTCCTCCTATGCAATGAACTAACTGAAGTTCAAGGTTTTTTGTTTGAGGGTGGAGATGATTGTGCAACTGGTGTTTATACGGATGAGGATGAGGAAGAGATGCCACGTACAGAGACGTCTGGGTTTAATATTGAACAAGGGATGGGAGCAGGTGAACTACTTCGGCAACGTCGAACCAAAAAAATAAGAGAGCTTTATGAAGGAGAGGAATTCGAGTCAGAAACAGAAGAATTTGATCAAGATGATGACATGGATGAAGATGAATATTGAGGGGCTGGCTGATGGAACGATGGCATATTTTGTTATGGTTATGGATTTGAACTCATGGCTGGGTTATCGGGTTGATGGGTTGTGATGCCTGTGATGTTCAATCTATTATTTTTTAACTAAGTAGAAACTTTAAGTTGAACTAGTTGTGGGATGTAATGATATTATAACCAACATCTAATGGGCTGTCAACTTCCATTTGTTACTGTCCTTTATGCAATGCAGTGCCTCGTGGGCTGTGGCTTTATGATCTTAGATTCCACAATTGTTGGATTTGGCGGTGCTACAGTACAAAACGCTTAAGCACGCCTTGAAACGCTTAAGCACGCTTAAGCTCTAGGCAGTGGGTCAGCGCCTGCTTAACGCCTAGCGCTTTTTGGAACCTTGCATTTTAGAATGAACTTTAATATATAAAAGTGTACGGAATTTACCCTACTCGATCTTTAAAAAGTTATTATATAAAAGTTTAATTTAAAAAATTATTATATAAAAGATTAAGTTGTCTCTTCAATTGTTAATACAATATCCAATTTATAATAAAGATGCATAGTAAACATTATTACAATAGGAAAAAATCAATTGTAGATAGAGCTAAGCATGTGACTCAGAATTTTGAACCGTTCCAAAAATCAAAACTGAAATCAATTCGAACTGAAATATAATCTTGATCATTTAACTTTTTCCGGACCGAACCGAAATGAAAAAAGTATTTGTACGGTTCTAGAGATTTCACAAATATCCGTATCGAAAACCCAACCGAACTGTCCCATACCATTTCGAACTGAAGAATTGAAATCAAGAACCGAATTATAACATTATATGTGTTTATTAATATATTTTATGTCAACTTTGATCCTATATAATTTGAGAATTTTTAAAATTGAAGTAAAATAAAGAGATAACAATTAAACTTCACTTCTTAGTAGCATTTGATCTACAATTGAGTTTTTCTTGTTATAAAAAGATTAGTTAAAATGTTATGAAAGGTTAAAAAATATTTTTATTTTCAATTGGACCGGCTTGAGCTGTGGGCTCGGGTTCGGCTGGTCCAGCAAAGATAAGGCCCGCTTATGCGGTTTAAAAATATATATGGTATTGGTTAAATACATATAAATATTTAGGAAAGACTACTAAAAAGGATGGAAGTAAGATGATGTATACCCACACCCTTATTAAGAATGATAGGAATCCTCAGATAAGAAGAAAACTGCTTGTCTTCAGTAGTAAGTCATTAAGCTTCTTATAAATAAGGGATTCGGGATTTATATACCCTAAACTATTAAAATTACTCATCATACATGATTAAATAGACAACGGTTTTCTGATTTAAGCGTCTGAGTGTCTACGCCGGAGCCATGCCCTGGCAGTTTGCAAGTCGATAATTCGGTTCTTGAAGGTTAAGGCGGTCGAGATGTTCAAAACTCTTAGTTAATCGAGACAAGACGGTTGGATCAACAATCTTAGTGAATTATCTTTTGGTCAATCACACTACTCACCCAAAACAAAAAATCATTACAATTCTTTTTTATGAAAAATGGGTTTCAAAGTACTTTTTTTTCACCAGTCTATACTTTTTAGAATGAACTTTATTATATAAAAGTGCACGGAATCTAACCTACTCGATCTTTAAAAAATTATTATATAAAAGTTTAAGTTAAAAAATTATTATATAAAAGTTTAAGTTGTCTTTTCAGTTGTCAACCCAATATCCAGATTATAATAAAGATGCATAGTCAACATTATTGGAATAGGAAATATTCAATTGTGGATAGGGCTAAGCATGGGACTCATAATTTTGAACCATACCGAAAATCAAACCGGAATCACTCCGAATCGAAATATCATTGTTGATCATCTGACTTTCTCCGTACCGAACCGACCGGAGAAATAATTGGTACGCCTCCAGAGATTTCACAAATATCCGTACTGAGAACCTAACCGAACTGACACATACCGTTTCATACCGAAAAAATGAAATCAAGAACAGAATTAGAACTTTAGATGTGTGTTGTTAATATATTTTATGTGAACTTTGATCCTGTATAATTTGAGAATTATTAAAATGCAAATAAAATGTAGTGATAACAATTAAACTTCACTTCTTAGTAGTCATTGATTTACAATTGAATTTTTCATGTTATGAAAAAATTAGTTATATGTTATGAAAGGTTAAAAAATATTTTTGTAAGAAAAAACTATATTATATTTTGTTTGACTTTAAATTTTCAAGTAGACCGGCTTGAGCCGTGAGCTCGGGTTCGGCTGGTCCAACAAAGATAAAGCCCGCTTATGAGGTTTAAAAAGATATATGATATTGGTTAAATACCTAAAAACATTTAGGAAAGACTACAAAAAGGGATGGAAATAGGATGATGTATATCCACAGCCTTATTAAGAATGATCAGTATCCTTAGATAAGAAGGAAACATTAGATGATGTATATCCAAAAACTCTTAGTCAATCGAGACGAGATGGTTGGATCAACAATCTTAGTGAATTATCTTTTGGTCAATCACACTACTTACCCAAAACAAAAAATCATTACAATTTATTTTTATGAAAAATGGGTTTCAAAGTACTTTGTATTTTCAGCAGCCTATACATTTTAGAATGAACTTTATTATATAAAAGTGCACGGAATCTACCCTACTCGATCTTTAAAAAATTATTATATAAAAGTTTAAGTTAAAAAATTATTATATAAAAGTTTAAGTTGTCTATTCAGTTGTTAACACAATATCCAATTTATAATAAAGATGCATAGTCAACATTATTGCAATGGGAAAAACTTAATTGTATATAGGGCTAAGCTTGTGACTCAGAATATTGGACCGTTCCAAAATTCAAACTGAAATCAATTCGAACCGAAATATAATTGTTGATCATTTGACTTTTTTCGTACCGAACCGACCAAAAAATAATTGGTATGGTTCTAGAGATTTCACAAATATCCATACTGAGAATCCAACTGAACCGTCCCATACCATTTCTAACCAAAAAACTGAAATCAAGAACTGAATTATAACATTAAATTTGTTTATTAATATATTTTAAGTCAACTTTGATACTATATAATTTGAGAATTTTTAAAATTGAAATAAAATATAGTGATAACAATTAAACTTCACTTCTTCGTAATATTTGATCTACAAATGAATTTTTCATGTTATAAAAAGATAAGTTAAAATTTTATGAAAGGTTAAGCAAAAATTTTATTTTAAAGTGGACCGGTTTGAGTCGTGGGCTCAGGTTCGGTTGGTCTAGCCAAGGTTTAAAAAGATATATGATATCTGTTAAATACCTATAAATATTTGGGAAAGAGTACTAAGAATGATGGAAGTAAGATGATTTATACCCACACACGTATTAAGAATGATCAGAATCCTTAGATAAGAAGGAAACTCCTTGTCTTCTGTAGTAAGTCACTAAGCTTCTTATAAATAAGGGATTCAGGATTTATATACCCTAAGCTCTTAAAATTACACATCATACATGATTAAATAGATGACGGTTTTCTGACTTAAGCCTCAGAGTTTCTACGTCGGAGCCACGCCCTGGCAGTTTGCAAGTCGATTCGGTTCTTGAAGGTAAAGGCGGTCGAGATGTTAAAAAATCTTAGTCAATCGAGACAAGACGGTTGGATCAACAATCTTAGTGAATTATCTTTTGGTCAATCACACTTCTCACCCAAAACAAAAAATCATTACAATTTTTTTTTTTTTATGAAAAATGGGTTTCAAAGTACTTTTTTTTCACCACTCTATACTTTTTAGAATGAACTTTATTACATAAAAGTGCACGGAATCTACCCTACTCGATCTATAAAAAATTGTTATATAAAAGTTTAAGTTAAAAAATTATTATATAAAAGGTTAAGTTGTCTCTTCAGTTTTCAACCCAATATCCAATTGAGAAAATAGCTATTTTCACCCCGTTCTGAAGTCACACTAAGTTTTTCACACCACC